GCTTAATAGGGTCGAGCCCCCCCCCCCACCTCCTAAATTTCATTCTGGCTACGCCGATGTATATACCCTTGTGGATAAAGCCATCTTTTTTTTTGTAAATTTTGCTATATTTGTATTCGTGGTTCTTTGTTTTATTATAAAACATCAAGTTCACACAGAAAAGCGAAATAAATTCGTATAGTTTCCGTAAGATATATCTGCTCCAAAAAGCAGGATCTTTTTTTTGTCCCGTCCGTGACAGAAGACATAACTGAAATTTTTTCATATAAAAGTAAGCTGAACATTTTTTCGTATTTTGTAATAACTCATATAATAGTCAATTAGGTGTAGCTTTATCAAAATACAGAATTGGTGAGTGCTTTATACTTAAATTTAAACAAGACAGAAAATTGTTCTGTACAAATGTTCTACCTGTGACGGTGGTATCGTCCTTATGTATTTCAACATAATTTATTTATAATAAGTAAGAAAGTCTAAGTTCGGGCGGAGCCGAACATTAAGTATTAAATATATGTTTTTTCACCTTTCCGAAAGCTACCGCTAACATTTCCGATTTCAATAATTTTCAACGTTTTGCTTTCATGTGGCAAGCAAAATAATCATACCGAATTTGGGACAAATTGGTAGAACGGTTACCTACATGTGATCATAAGTGGGATGTGCCACGCCCATTTTCCAACATTTTATCATAAACGTATTTCTTGGTGAAGCATTGTTGCAAGCATTAATTTTGAATAAATTAGCTTCGATATTTACTGCTTTATCGAAGTTTTTGGATTTCTCTAAATTACCGTTATATGGGATGTGGGCGTGGTTATTGTCCGATTTTTTAAATTTTCGACCATTTAGTATGTTATACCAAGGCCAACAACTGTGACAAGTTTGGAAGAAATTGGTGCAGCGGTTACCAAGATATACACATGTAACCATAAGTGGGCGCGGCTACGCCCATTTTCCAAAAATTTATAATATTCTTATTTTTCGTCTAAAATTTATTGTAAATATCAATTTGGAGTGAATAATCTTTCGTAGTTACTAAAATATCGCAGTTTCCGTATCTCTGAGAATTACAGTTGTATGGGAAGTGGGCGTGGTTACAGTCCGATTTCCAACCTACCTTGGGTAAATGAAAACATACATACCAAATTTCGTTGAGATATCTCATTTTTTGTTCGAGTTATCGTGTACACGGATGGACGGACAGACGACAGACGGACAGACGGACGGACGGACAGACAGACATGGCTTAATCGACTTCACTACTCATTCTGAGCATGTATGTATACATTTGTCTATATCTATGTCGATTCGTTTTGCTTGTTACAAACAACCGTTATGTGAACAAAGTTATAATACCCTTGTGCACAAGTGCGCTGGGGTATAAAAATCTGTAATTCCATTGTACAAGTGTTGATCAAAAATTTATTTGGCTTTGCTGAACTCAGGCTATTCTCGGTAACTTCATGTTTATTAATGCTTAGAAATGTTCCATTCCTAATGCAAATGGCGCATCAGAAAATTGAAAATGGGCAAATAACTCGATTAGTTTCTAAAACGTGCGCGGGGGCACAAAAACTATACCGGGCAGTAATTCGAGCTCCGGATAAACTCAGACGGTGTATTCTCTCTCAGGCGGTCACAGTAGAAAAGGAAAGCCAAAAAATAAGTGTTGATAACATTACTCATTTCAAATTGGAAAAACATACATTTGTATCCCCGTTAAAATACAGACTCCACCATAAACTCTTGGATTTAGGTTAATGAATTCAAAAGTTATTTAGAAGACAATCCTTTTTCTGAAGGCGCGAATTTTGTTTTTACCTTACCAATTTTACCTTAAGGAGTGAAGGAAAAAAAACTTTTCAGAAAAATTTTGGGCAAAATGATTCGTAACCCGAGGTTTTATGGTCAATTCAAATACTTGAACTTGCAGATTTTAACAGTTTGTAAAGTATTTTTAATTCATAGCCTATAAGTTTATGCATACATATAAATGTTATAAATGCTGTAGCAATGAAGTCGAAATATACATATGCACCTTATTTTGGTTTTAAAAGTTTTTTTCAGCACTTAAATATATAAAACGAAGTTTTTTATGGCAACACTGTATGTGAGGTAGCATTAATTATTTTCTAGAGAGTAAAAACACTCATATTTCAAAATGGTTCTCTTTTTTATAAAATATTCGCATTTCTGTCTAATATATTTCAGGACGAATGGATAAGGCTTGAGCCAAAAAAGGGCCATTCTGGTGGGAGTTGGTGGGTTAAGCTGTAGGAAAAAAGTTTACCACTCTTGTTTTCAAAATGGCGGTCAATCTAAGACCTGCAAAAATTTTAAGAACTTCATAATTTAACATAACGGTAGATAAGGTTATTACAAAAATTTATTAGTAGTAGTAGTAGTATTATTAGTCCAATTAATTAAATTTTTTAATTTTTATATTTCTTTAAAATTAGACAGTACATGGGGATCTGTAGAGATGATAGAAAACCATGTATGTATTTATGTATCTATGTACCTCAACTCCTTCTGTTCGCCCATCCATCAGCGCCAGGCACTCAACATTTTAACTCAAGTAGGAAGTAAAAGTATTTAAATTTAAAACTAAATCAAGAATGAATTAAATAGAATTATTATCTGAATTGGCATGTCGAATGCCTAACGCTGACGAGAGTATATGATAAGGTTAGTAGCCGTATGGCTCTTTGGAATCTGTCTTATGGACAGTTGCGCCGGCGTCACCGCCGCCGACGCCGCCGCCTTAATGTCTGTCGGCGGAAACCTCTAATATACATACATGTGCACTTTCATGCATATAGAATGTGTGTATTTATACTTTAGCAATATTTACCATATTTAAATCGTTCTCTACTACTAGTACCCCTTCACAGTTCTGCAAGTATCTACATACATATATTTAATTCTAAGGGTATGTCGCATCAAATTATTTTAAAACTCACCCCTTCACAAGGTTTGTTGATTTTCGTGCAGATGCTTTAATTTTCAGAATTTATCACTCGCAGTTCCAGCGGTAAACTTTAGTACCGCCTGGGGCAGCATTAGCGAATGAAATATGATAGCTTTATGCATGTAAATACATACATATGTAAGTAGGTTTGTGTTTATACGTACATACATACATATATCGCCGTTTAAAGTGCAAAACCGCATATCCAGTCATACCAAAATATCGATATTTAAATATTAATGGTTGAGATAATTGGGGATAAAATGAAGGAGAGAACCGTTTTGAAATAAGACAGATTTTACTCTCTCCTGTAAAATTTGGTCAACCTCACATACGAACTAGATAATTTTTATTACTTTTTTATTAACTATTTATGCATTTGTGTTGACATTTCGCCATCTGACTTTTTCTTTTCAGGCGCCAATGGCCTTCTATCCTACATGGCAAGCCGACCCCTCACAGGGCTGGCAGAATCAGTTTATCCAGCAAATCCCACAGAATACTCCACCCATTTCATCGCTCAACTCGTTGGATTTCCAAACGCAGTCATATGCCTACCCATCAAATGGATATGTGCAGACCGGCCTCGGATTCGATCCGAATTATGGGCGCTCCCCATATGGTGCTCCGGTACAGCGTTACGATTTCCAGAGCCAGCAACTACCGACTGCGCCCATTAACCAAGTTGGCCTGCAGGGTGTTGGTTTCAGTCCGGCCGCTGTTACGTACGCCGGTCAGGTGTCGGCAGCACCAGCTCCACCCGCAGTTGGTTTGCAACAACAGCAGCACTTGGGTGTATCTGGGGATTTGAATAAGACGATGTCGGGAAACGACACGCCTGGATATCCGCGAGTGAGCAGCGTGCCGCCGCGCTCACTCAACTGTAACGGGTATTCAGGCGACTACAGCGGCTCAAGTCAACAGCAAACATCTGCATCAAACAACAGCTCAGCTACGGTAGCAGGCTCCGCTCTTGCCGGCAGCAACTCGAGCACTACTCCACTCAATGGCGGTCAAACTACAGCAGCGCCGTCATCGGCTCCAACGGATGCAACACCAATGCAACCGCCTAACGTCTCGTCTGTGCCACAATCGCCGACGCGTAATCTGATGCAACAACAACAGCAGCAACAACAACCCCGCCATGTTTCTCAATCACCGAACCATATTCCTCAATCGCCCAACGGCAATATGCCTTCGGCTCAACAAACCTACGGTGCCAACATTCCACCCTCGTCACATCATAACTCCATGCAACAGCAGCAGCAGCAGCAGCAACAACAACAACAACAACAACAAGCACAGAATCATATTTCGTCGCCACCACAATCGCAGCAACAACAACAAATGCAACAGGACTGGAATTGGAACACCCAGCCCCAGCAGACATCTGCAGTTGGCGCTGCAACCGACCCTTACCAGCAGGGCGAACGTGTGAATCTCAACACACGCATCAAATCGATGATACTTCGCAAAAACGATCCCAAAGATCCTCTATCGAGTGCTCCAAGTGATCTGCATATGTCCAATAATCCGGGAGCTATTGGTTCCGGCCCTACCGCGCTCGGTACATCGCAACAACCACAGGCCGGTCATTTTTTATCATATAGCCACCATCTCCGCGGCGATTCAGTGATGAACGCCAATGGTACGACTGGTGCTAATATATCCGGCACACAGTCTTCACAGCAGCAACATCAACAACAGCAGCAAATGCAGGGCATTCAAACGTCCAGTAGTGTGGGCCTTACACCCGGACACAGCACATTAGCGCCAGAACCAATAGGAGGTGGTGGCGATCAAATTTGGAAACCACACCATACAAATTCGTTTAAGAAACCAGTGGCAAGTAGTTTTCCAGCACCCGAACATCACCATCAACAACAGCATACTACAATCAGTCATGGTGGGCACACCACCATTGCACATTCTGAACCACAACCAAAAAAATCGAGTCGTAAAAGTAAAAGCCGGGCGGCAGCAGCAGAGGCAGCAGAACATGATAAAAATAGTAATGATCCTGGTGGTGGACTGCATGGTCCCGTACATGGTTCACACAGCATAAAATCTATGGATAAGACTGGCTACCCTCCCTCCCATGGCTATCCGCCGCCACAACATCCCGACTACCACACAACGTATATCAAAACTGAGCCCGGCCTCCTGCCCACCCAGCATACCAAAATGGAGGGCTATGAACGCAACTACCAAAATTTTATACAATATGCTGATTTTTGCCAGAACGAGGTGCAGGGCATGCCATCACAACAGCAACACCATCAGAACCAGCAGGACTATGCGAGTTATCACAGCTCACCATACTACGGCAGCTCCAGCTCATTCCAACAGAGCTATCAACAGAACTTCGTACCAGGCTATCAGCATTCATCAGCAGGCATGGGTTACGGCAGCACGCATGGCATGCATCCGCATCATTCAAGCTCTTTGGGACATTCTAGCCACCTGAAAGCGTCCAATGGGCCACTAATGAAGAGTAGTAATAGCGTCGGTTTGCATCATCACAACAATCACTTGATGGATATTGATCGGAAACCAGATACCAATAGCATTATACCCTTACCCACAAACTACGAGAAGGACATACCAGCGCATGCCTATCCCATACCACCTCATCGGTACCATTTAGGCCCAACACCTTCCCATTTAGGTCACACCATGATCGAGCCCAAAATTGAAGACATGGGCGTACTGGGCCATAACGCCGGTTACCCATTTTTAGGCGAAGGCGGACCGGCGGCCATCAAAAATAGTAGTGGCTTTTCTTGTTGTCGTCAAGGCAGCACCCGCACACCCACCGCTGAACACCTCAAGGATGGGACTTGTACAGGCATCCAGACCAAGGACGAAATCATGGAGGAGCCGGTAGAGGAGCCAGCAGAAATTATCAGTGGCACGAAGCCTAAGAAGAAGGGTGCAAAGCAAGAAGATAATGAAATTGTGGTTAAGCATGAAAAAATCAATCCTTTGTTCGATACCTCAGATCGGCTGGAAAAGGGCAATAAGACGGAGATACCTGAGTGCGAATGCTTCCATTCCGATAAAAATCCCCCAGAACCAGGAACATACTATACCCATCTCGGTGAGTCGTAATGTGTTCCCAGGCATGTAGATGACTAAACACTAAAACTTACTTATTTTAGGCACTGCTTCGACACTGTCCGAGTTGCGTAGAGAATTCGAGGAGCGTTGCCAGATATCCGGTAGGCAGCTGCGTATAGAGAAAATCATTTACACAGGCAAGGAAGGCAAAACAACCCAAGGTTGTCCACTAGCGAAATGGGTTATCAGGCGCGCCGATCCAGAAGAAAAGATTTTGGTTGTTGTAAAGAAGCGGCCAGGGCATAGGTATAGAGAACATTAATATTTAAATCTCTAAAGGTTTCTTATAGACTAATGTTTGGTTTATAGGTGCGCAGCAGCTTTTATAATTGTTTGTATGGTTGCTTGGGATGGTATGCCACGTCTTGAGGCGGATAATGCTTATAAAAATCTGATACCAAAGCTCAATAAATTCGGACTTCCAACAACGCGCCGTTGTGCCACAAACGAAAGTCGCACATGTGCGTGTCAAGGTATGTAATCTTGCTTTCTATTTTTGGCTGGATTAAATTTTCTAATCACCTTATTTACTATCGATAGGCCTCGATCCTGAAACTTCAGCTGCGTCCTACAGTTTTGGCTGTTCTTGGTCTATGTACTACAACGGGTGTAAGTATGCCCGCTCAAAGACTGTGCGCAAATTCCGACTCTCTGTAAAGAGCGAAGAGTCGGTTATCGAGGATCATATGAATCTTTTAGCCACGGCATTGGCGCCATTGTTCAAACAAGTATGCCCTCGGTCATATGACAATCAAACTAAGTACGAGAAGGAAGCGACAGACTGTCGACTCGGTCTGGAAACTGGCCGACCTTTCTCGGGCGTTACCGCTTGCCTAGATTTTTGTGCACACGCTCATAGAGATCTGCATAATATGCAGGACGGGTGTACAGTGCAGGTGGCACTGCTGAAGCCTTCCAACCGTGATGGCCGTCCGCCTGACGATGAGCAGCTACATGTGCTGCCGCTCTACACCATGGACACAACGGACGAATTTGAGAGTATGGAGGGTCAACGGGAGAAACATCGCACCGGTGCGGTGCAAGTATTGGACAAGTGAGTGTAGTGTTGAGTTTTGAAAGCTCCCTAACGGTGATCCCTTAAAAACAGAGCCCCCATAACACAAACTTGTCTTCTTTGCACTTTCAGATTTTCTTGCGAAGTACGCGTTCGCTCCACGCCGCTTATACCCTGTCGGCGTCACGGCAAAAAGCGCAAAGAAGATGAAAACGTTGTACCAGAAGCAGAGGCCGCTGCTACCACAACCGTAACCACACCTACTACACCCACGCCTGCTGCCACTCCACAACCAACAACTAATTGCACCAATGTTAGCAACGCTAATGGCTCAGCAACCAACGTTGCCAACAGCATCTTAGCAACTTCTGTAAATGGCAAGAAGGAAGGGGGAGGCAACAGTAAATCAAAGTCCAAATCAAAATCAGGTGCAGCGGGCAGTACAGCTGCCACAACTCCATCGTCAGCACCCCCGTCGACCCCTTCGCCGCGCTGTCAAACACCGGTAACCAACAACCCCAGTCCTGCAGGAAGCGCTTTTACTACGCCGCCAGTCAACAACGCTAACAATACTCACATGAACACCGCTGTGAACAATGCGGCCGGAGGTAATCCACCCAATCAACTCATGTCGTCCAATTCCAGTCTAATGAATATGGCGACTATGATTGATACCTTCACAGATGCGCAGTTGCAATCCAATCAGATCTCAAGCACGGTACTCGATTCGCCTTATTCGTACGACTACCAGACTGGTTCCTACATAGATTCACGAAACTACTACGGAAACTGGCCCCCGCCGCATGCAACTCATGCCACTCACGCCGTCAGTATGGGTACGCCATCAGGCCCGGCGACTACACCAATGGCGCCACCGCAAGACAATGTGCACCATACTACCACCGCTCCACTTACACCTCACCACGATACGAGCGCTACTTACGCCAACAACTACAATAATCTGCCTACAGCTGGCAGTCAACAATTGACGCAAGTGCATGATGTGCGCGGGGAAGTAAAAAGCCGCGGCAGTGAGGAGAACCCCGACTCCACAACTATAGTAAATAATACTTTAGCTGAAAGTAAGTTGACCACTCTCACTCCATTGACACCAATGACTAATCTAACTCAACACCACCATCATCCTCACCATCATGCTACGCCCATCGAAGAAGGCTTCGTCAAACCGAAACCACCGGCAGACTATCAGTACACTCAGTACCCGAGCAACTACCAAATGTATCCGACGCCACATTCGGCCTACTCGGCGTACGATGCCTATCAGAATATGAACTACAACTATGGGTATCATCAAGCGTACTCACCTTACAGCATGTATCCACAGCAAACACCGCCACCCACGCCACCTACACCATCACCAAATTGGAACATGTACGGCCATCATCAAAGCACCGCATCTTCGGCTGCTTATGCCCCGACAGTACTGCCGCCAAACAGTGGTGCCCATCAACATTCATCGCTCGCCACCGCCGCACCACAAATGCAAACACAAATGCCGTTGCCCAACGGGAATCTGAAGCCCGCACTTCCCACGCTGGTTGTACCACCCACACCAACAACCGACACCCTACAGATGCAAGCGCAAGCACAGACTCAACTGCAGGCACAAACGCAGATACCAGTGGTACCACACCAGACTGTCCTCCCGGATCTCAGCATTACCAACACTCCCAACAATCAATCCACGCCCACTAACACAGAGCTCACAAACTCAAACCCAACGACTGCTGTCAATGTAACTTCGCCAAATTCAGCAACCCCAATATCGGCCATTAACAACGATAGCAGCAACAACAGCACCAGCAATAGCAACGACAACAGCAGTCCGACGGCAACGACCGCTTCCACTGCCGAAAACGGAACAACCGCGGGAGTAACAACGAACACAAACACATCAACAACAGGAACTACGCCGACCGCTGTAGCGACCACTTCCAACCCAAACAAACTGGAACCGATTGGGGAGGTAACAGAAATCAACGACAACTATGAAGCGTTCGCTGATCCCCAAATGGGCGGTGTGGCCATAGCGCTCAATCATGGTAGCGTATTGATCGAGTGCGCAAAGCACGAACTACATGCGACCACTGCGCTGCGAAATCCCAACCGGCATGAGCCAACGCGAATGACCCTTATATTCTATCAGCATCGCAATCTAAATCGCGCACGGCATGGTATCGACGAGTGGGAGGAGAAGATGCGTGTGAAGAAGATCAACACTGACCTCGATAACAAAGCCAAAGAAGAACGCGAAAAGTTGAAGAAGGAGCGTGAAGGTGGCGAAGAGGATGACGAGGAAGCAGAAAATGCGCTCTCCAATGGCGCTGCGCAAGGTTCAAGTAACAGCGGTAAGAAGGATGGCGCCAACGCAAACAATGTTAATAGTAACGGCTCTACAGCACCTCCTGAGACGACAGCGACCACATCGGTGACAACAGCAACTACGAAGAGCGGCGGCACAGGTGGTGGTTCGGCTAGCAAAAAGAAAAAGGAATCGGGTAAGAAGAATGCAAACTCAAATGCAAATGTGAACGAAATTGCTAATGAGAATTCTGCTTCTTCCGTTGAGCAGGCAAAAAGCGAGAAACGAGTTGCACTCCACGCGCCAACACTAACAACAACCTCTTGGACGACCCTCTTCCCTATGCATCCGTGTGTGGTTACGGGACCCTACCAGGAGGGCAACACTAGTCCGTCGGCGGCTGCAGAAGTAGAGCAGCAGGTAGCACAACAACAACAACAGCAAATGCAGCAGCAGCAACAGCCGCTTAAGCAGCAAATGCCAGCTTAAGGGCATAGCTGGTACAGTTCTGGTGATGGAAAGTGCAAGGTCGGGCATGTTTCTCAACAGAAGAGAGCCACGCACGCGTTAGGTCAGTTGGAAATGCTTTCTTGTGTATGTATGTGTGTACACATTTATGTATGTATATGGTTAGGTACTATGCTAAACAAGCTGACGCTTATTTTATGCCATTCAGGCATGCCCAGTACTCAACTGCATCTTAAACTGGCGTTGTACATATTTTTTACTCGTAGAGTGCCATATTTTTTAACTTACTGAAAAGACGGATGTAAACATTTCAGCCGAGATTTTCATATAACACCAGGATCAAAGCGCTGGTGCGCTAAAGCCATTTTGAGATTGTTTATTTCACACAAATACATTCATATATGCACATATATTATGCATTTTTTTATTTGATGGTATAAAATACCAATGCAAAAGCGATCAGGATGTAATATTTACTACACACATAGGTATGTCATTTGTAATTTTCGAAAGTAGTAATTTTAGAAAACGAAGACATTGCATATAAATACATACATACATAAATGCAGTTAATATTCACTCATCACCACACATAACAAATTGACTTTTTATTTTTTTGAACGTATTTTATCTAAACTATTTTTTATACTTTACTCATAAAGACTTTCAATTTTTATTGTCACGTTTTATTGAAGTGTTAGCATTATTCAAGTAAAATTTATGCCATATACATATACATACATATTTTCATAAAAGTTGGCAATTAAAATTTTAGTCTTCTCAACTTAAATACATATATTTTCCAATACAGAAAGGAAAGATTCAGATCATATTTGTTATTCTAAATGCTATGCGTTGGTTACCTTTGCTTATACATATCGTCGTTTAAAGTACAAAACCGCGTATCAACAAAGGGCAAATCGCGTATCAAGATGATGCAAAACCTCGTATATGAGGTGGCATTATTTGTTTTCTAAATTTATTTCAAAATTGTTCCCTTTCTTATAAAGCAATCGCATTTCTGGCTAGTATTTTTCAGGACGAATGGATAAGGATTGAGCCAAGAGCTTGTGTGAGCAAATCCAATTTTTGGCAAAAAATGTCAGTTACGCGGTTTAGCACTTTAAATGACGATATCGTTACCTTAATTCACAAAGGCCCTAACCAACAAATTTTTAATTTTGCAGCACAAGCAAAAAACTTTATAAAAAGAACATCAAAAACAGGGAGGGCGTTTTAAAAAGTGGCATGTAACTCCGTGTTTTTGGAACAGTTTCGAAAAAAATGTTCTAGGGTCTTTGTGAATTAAGGTACCGATATACAGAACAACTATTACAAATATCAAATACTTTCAAAATACTAAAACACTAAACTATTTAGGTAGCCACCATGCTAGGTATGCAGATACGTACTATTCACATTCACCCCTATTGCGAATGTCGACTGGCAGTAGATAAACGAGTATTAAGCGATTATCGATTACACTGGTCTACAAGGGTTTTGCGGATAAGACGGGACCTGGTGTTTCCGAACGGATTTTTCGTGCTGAACACGAATCTGGGGTCCAAAACTTCCCATCACGTCACGTTTTNTTTCGGTAATACATTCTCAACTAACAAACTGCAAACAAAACTAAAAAAAAACAAAGAAAAATAAAAGGAGAAAACGTAATACATTTAGTTGCAAAAGAAATATTTTTTTTTTTATGAAGCAAGGAAACACTATGAATACATACGTATATTACTATGATAAAATTTAAGTCAACAAACCAACAACAAATCTAAATAAGTAAATATCAAGAAAGAATTACTGTTAGAAAAAGAACATTGCCAAAAGTACAAAGAAAATAAAACCGTTTTTAATACATATGAATACTAAGTAAAACACAATTTCACTACTCGAGCGCATTCACTCTTACATACGCAAATAACTAGTTGATAAAGGGAATAATTTTTATTAAAAAAAACACATAAAAGTGCACATACATTCAAAAAAAGGGTCAGAGTAAATTTCAGTAGTAATTGCATACATATGTATGTATATAAATAATAAAAAAAAAAGTTGAATAGCAATTTGTCAGTTGAAAACATAAACGAGATACACAAATAACCAGTACAATACATAAAGGGTACTCACAGTTCTATATTATCTACTGTGTTAATTTTGCCGCCCGGTAACTTTAAAACATTTTACCATGTGGTAACTTTCTTTGTTGTTGGTTCCTATACTACTTAGAGATAACACTTTTGGGCAAAATTATTGGACTTTGTGTCATATTTTTGTTTTGTGTTAAACTGGCTAATTATTCGCGATAAGAAAAAATGGAAAGTGAAGCACAAAAACTTAAGGTGGGCGCAATTTGAAAGATTTTTAAATATATATCTGACTTTATTTCATTTATTGACAATTTGAAACACATGTGTAAAGGGTTGCTCACAGTTCGTGTGTTATCTTGTTAAAGTTACCACCTTTTAACTTTAAAAGTAAACTGTGAATACCCTAATAGTATATATCGCCACCATCAATGCAAACCTTTCTGACAAATTTGAAATTTCATGGGAGAAGCCAAGGCGAATTTATATGTATTCGCCTTGGGAAAAGCCAAACATTTTTTTAAATTACAGAAATGCTTAAAACAAACAAATTTCCGAAAACATATCAAGTGGGTCCTTTTGCATGGTTATCAGTTTGCCGGAATATATACAGGCCCTTATTATGAGCTGCATTCGATTTTCGATCTTCGCTGGCTATCGAAGATCGAAAGTGAAATTCATTATGAGCTATGCAAGCGTGTCGAAATTTTCGTTGAGTATCGAATTTTCTGTCGAACAGAATTTTGCTTTCGATGGTGTAGCGAAGTGTTAGAAAATTGTGAAAAATGTATGATTTTGTATATGTTTTCTTACATTTTGGCGGCTAGACACTAATTTTAAACAATTTTTATTAATTTCATGCAGTTCTAACATCGTGAATACTAAACACAAACTCGAAAGGCTGGTTTTACTTGTGAAAGAAAAACCCAATACTGTTGGCACGATCTCTGAGAACAAAATCGTAGCGTTGTTGATAGTTTTAAAATATTTTAAATAGATTTGGCTCACAAACGCCTCTTTAGATGGTCGGAACTTTTTAATGAATCTGTAGACAAATTTCTTAAATATATTTTATATCAAAATATATTCGAAAGACTAATAAACTTAAACTCTCTTAAACATTTGCTACTCCTGGCCAGTTTACTAAGCTCTCATCCTCTGACGAATCGTTGAACCAGAACTCGTTCTACTCATTTTACCACGTTTTTATAAACTCGCTTTCTTTTTGATTTCATTTTAATTGGAACAAATTTACATAAATATGTATAAGCACACTATTTAGTTTGCTCGATTTGTAAACAAAGCTTCTCAGCGGTGAAAAATATACTATTGTGAACGACCTAAACGAGCGAAATTCACAATAGCGCTATTCTTCATCGAATGAGCGCCATAATACCAAATGAAAATGCGTTCGCTCAGCACTTTCGACCACAGTCGAAAATCGAATGCAACTCATAATAGGGGCCACATTTTTTTTTATGTACCCCATAAGTTTGGACCACGGCAACCGATTTCGATAATTCTTTTTTTCATCGGGAAGGTGGTACCTCAAGAGTGGTCCCGTACTCATTTTGTTTAGATCCGATAATTGGATCGTGAAGAAATTAACGATAATTTTAAATTTTTATATGAGAATTAAACTCAGTTTTGTTTTTTGCTTAAAAGTTACTTTTTGATTAATTATGATGCATTTATTACAAGGTCCCATAACGTCAATTTCGGCTTTTTTGCATCTCAGGTCACGATATTACCTCTTTTGGAGATTGCATACAATTACATATGCACACTGTATAAACCACTCTTCCAGAAGAGTTTACCGTTTACTCCAATACAATAAAAAAAAAATGCTCTCATAAACCAACGTCAGAACAGTACAGTACAGAAACACAAAACGTACCGTGATTCAACCATTTTTAGAGGTAGTTTCACTCAGCTACCGAGAACGCGTTCTTGTTTTGGTTTAGTTCTGCACGAGAACAAAATGTAATGTCAGGAGCCAAATGAGAACAAAAGTATTGAGAACAGTTTGAACGGGAGCAAAATGTTAATAAAAGGTTTGGTAACGTTTCCGTAAAGAACAAAATGCGAGCAAAACTCTCGGGAACGTTATCAAGAAGAACAAAATGAGAACAGGAACATTTCCTATGAGAACAATATAAGAACGAAAGTATCAATAACGTTTTCAAGGAGAATTAAATAAGAACAAAAGTGTGGCTAACAATTTTTTTTCTGAGCACAAAACAAAAAAAAAAAAAAAAAAAAAAAAAAAAAAAAAAAAAAAAAAANTCGTTGACTTTATTTGCATAATTATGTTACAATTCTTTTTTGATCAATTTTAATAATCAAACATTTCAAGCTAATAGAAGCTATGAGAAAAAATTTATTTTTGCTTCCTTTCTTCGCGAATAATTCACAGGAGATTTGTTCCCACTTCATTCTCTATCAGAAAGTTCTTGAGACTTTTGTCCCCATTTTGATCTTTGAAAAGTTTGATATTTTTAACCCTAAATAGAAGATTTGTATATGTTATATAATGTACAAGTAATAGGTTTTTTCTAGGTTTTCTTTAAAAAACGTTTGGCGTAGTAACGGTCGGGCTTTCTGAATTGACTCTGGTTGCGATTGCATTCCTCATACGAATAATTGTAGTTCTTTCAGCGGAGCACCTTTCAAATCTTTGGAATTAACTAAATTAATTAACAAGTATTTACTTACATTTTTCATGAAATTCCCCCAAGTTTATAAATTTTTAAATCTAACGAGAATCTTTGTTCAAAAGGACGATAACCACAAAGCGGCCATGCCTATGGCAAATTAATCTGGGTTGTAATCCATTCATTCCGATATACCGCCTTCGAAGTTTTGAAGGAGTATTCGATTACGTAATATGCATTTGCGCCGCTGGGTTATTGCATCATGATGTATGTTTTACGCGATTGCAACTTCTCTCCAAGAGAACTGTCACTTTGTGTTGCTGGTTAATTTTTTGGTATAGTTGTTATCGATACCTCTTGACAACTATTGACACATATTTGGTATTGGCTAAGCAAAGTTGCTGTCGACGTTGAGCTCACATGGCGCCATTTCTGTCGAGACCGTGTTTACTGACGACTGGAAGAAAATTTGTAGGTTCAATTGTTTTTTTTTTAAGAAAAAAGCCGTTAGTACCAGGTAATCGTCAAATTAGAAATATAAACATTTTTGTCATTTCATTTTATTCATTTTGCTGAATTCATTTGTTAGATATTTCCTCTTACCCTTGTCTTCTCCTTTTCGTATTTGTAATTCAATTGAATCAATGCATGTGTATGAATCCGTATTCCACTTTTAGTTTGCGGCTTAATTTTATCGCAGTTTTGTGGAGTCGAAAATAGTCTTCAAATCTAAAATAAAATAAACTTTTAGCAAAATTTTTTTTTACTTAAAATTT